CCACCATTAGCGGCATATGTCAGCAGCGGCAACCGCCCACGTATCTATGTAAGCCGGCCAAGGGCTGCACTTTCCGGGTAGCATTTCCCACGCAACGGCGCCCGGAAAAGCTAACAGAAATCTATCTAACTATGCGCGTTCTCGATGACGGGCTAACCCCACAGCAGACTCTCAAATCCAAGCGCTTGTTATTTATGTCAATGGCTTGGCTTGTGCGTCACATTCACACATGCACACATACTGAATGTGTGCGTGTGTGTGTGGGAGAGCAGATGCGCCAATCAATAGTTGAAATAAATTAAAGCATACTTCTCGGCGGCGACCTAAATGCCTGAGCAACGGGGTGGCAATTTCTGCTCTTTGGAATGCCCCATTTACACTCGTTTGCCGCTGATAAAACTTAAGTAATTAAATGTTAACATGGAGTCAAGTGAAAGTGTAATTAATAATGTTATATTATTTGCTGTCAATAGGGGTTTATGGTTGCACATGGCTAAAAAGATACATACTATATATTTATATGGGATTGAGATAATTAGGAATTTTTCGGTAGAATTCAATTTAGGTTGAGTGGCCAATATAACTTACTAAAGAATCCTCATTTTTAATATGGAAATCCAAATGCGGACCCTTTAGCATAACTTAGCCACAGGAATGAATAGTCTTTGATTTAAATTCGTATCCACTCGAAACATTTGAAAAGTCTGTTAAAAGAAGTTCATAGAAAACTTATAGTAGTTCACTGAGCTCACTCAAAATATATAAATAATAAACCTGTTCACTTGTTGATAGCTTGTTTATTTTAAATAGATCATAGAGTTTATGCCATCAATCATCAATCAACATAACAAGTTGTAAATCTCTAATATGTGATTCTCAGTTGTATAAGCTTTGAATGTAACACCTTATAAATTGAAAAGTTAAAACATTGCGATTGAAACCTGTCTTAATCATCAATTATTATTTTATTATTGAGGCTGAAACTTGTTTATAGGCTAAGTGTTGGGATTGAACTTCTCTTATACAAGAAACTATGTCACACGTGCATGTAAAACCAATAAATCAAGCCAAATCAAAGTCTATATAAATTGATGAGCTGTTCGAGCTGTTGTTCCTTGCTGGCAGTTAGCTCTATGAATAAACAAGTATATAATTAAGTATACACGAGCAGGAACATTATTTTTTTTTCTAGCAGCGTGCGAAAGTAAGTATTCGATTACACATTGAGTGAATGAATGAATGAATGAGCGAATATGAGTTGCTTGTTAAAATTAATGGCTATTCCATTCTAGCTTCGATTGACTCTAGCTAATTTAATGTGCAATCAAGTATTCAGTGTCGCCTCGAATGCCCATGGCGTGTGTCTGTGTGTCCATCAAAACCTTAAGGGGCTGGGGGTTTTTCTAGTTAGATTAATTGCCCCCCTAAAAACTTATTTGGCTGTCGAAAACATTTGCATAATTAGCATATAGAGAGAGAGCGAGAGAGGCAGAAAGAGGGAGATAGTTCTGAATTGACTACAGGATATGTAAAAATACTTATTAGCAAGTCTGTAGAAAGCTGCCCGCAACAGAGAAATGGATTCAACAGACAAACAGGCGTCAGCTTCAGAACTTTTCTATACTCTTACAAAGAGAGCTCTATGAATTTGGCATTCATTTGGTGCGAAACTTTGAGTAAGTTATAGACATATAGATAAAAATGTTGATTTGTTGTTTCTCTTTTTTTAACAATTGTTTTCTGTCATATAAAAAGATATTTATTATTTATGTTTTATTTTTTTTTTTTTTAAATTCGCGAAAGATTCTGCAAAGTCTAGCCAAAAGCTGAACAGTTTGAGTATAAGAGTATAATTTTTTCTGTTAAACCAACAATGTCCATTGTTAATTGATATGCAAAACATAAAATTTTTATTTTAGTACTGAGAATGATTTTTTAATTGTCTAAAATACCAGCTTAAATCAATAATAATGGTATTAAAAATAACTCATGTTTATCTACGCTTTTAACTAACTAGATGCATAAGTAACAACAAATTTCATTTAATGCAGAAATAAATATAATAACAATATATATATAAATATAAATAAAGTACTGTACTCTAAAATTGTAAAATAAAATTCAATTTATAATCAAGCCGTAATTTATCTATTCATGTCTCTAAGAGAACTTTCCTCTTCTATATAAACTTGCAGCCTTGCTCATTAGATCTCAAAGCGTATTTAAATATCGGTATTCAGTGAATCTTTTGCTTTTGATTTCATTTCATTTTGTTTATTTTTATTTTTATTTTATTTATGTTTTTGTTCATTCGATTCATTCGACTCACACAAGTTGCCACACAATGAGACATTTTGGCATCTGGCAAAGTTTTTGTCAATATATATATATTGTATTATTAATTATATAAATTAACTTGTTTTGTGTGTTGTTTCTCTTCTTACAAGCGGGCGGATGGGCCGGATGGGGCGGGGCGGGCACACACAGACTTCAAGTCAAATTAATTATAAATGCGACGCTTGGCAAAAGGCGAAGACAGCCGCAGATAAGAATCTTACGCCAACGATCATCGCACTCATCATCATCATCATCATCACTATGGCCATTATTATTATTATCATCATCATCATCATGATTAACAGTCAAATGCAATTAAGCGCAATTATGCATAAAGCGAGTACTGATACATGTCGTTCTGTTGTTACGCCCGATGCTAAATTATGACGGAAGTGGCGAGCTTACAAGCAGTGCCCGCGGCATTAGCTGAGATTATCCAATCGAATTCTCAGCTAATTCACAATGCGCATATATGCATATTGAATAACATAAATATTATTAATGTTCCCTGTGGCGCCTTAGATAACAATTGCTTTAAATTGTTGCAATAGATGTATTCATGCGCCCTTAGCCCAGCCGATGATTGATGTTTGGCATGAGATGTGATTGTCAATCACAAGGGAAATAAATGGCAAAGATCGTAAATTGCATGTTTAAATAAATAATTATGAATTTACAAAAGACTTGGTCTATGAGAACATGGGAAAGGAGTGTGGATATATAATTACTTAATTTGCAATCCAAAAATAAACTTCTAACTTTTTTACACTCAATTATTTTCGAATTAGACAAATATCTGAACATAGAAGAAAGGCTTTTTGTAATTTTGGGATTTCCTTGCAGTGTCAGGTAAAAAAGTACCAAAGTAGATTATTGAGTAATAAACATAAACTATATTTTAAATAAAATAATTATAAAACCTTTTATAGTAGATTCTATTTTCATAATTTAGCTTCTACAACTTGGTCTGTACTTCATGCAGAGATCCAGCATACCCATATATATCTACGAAATCATAAGATGTTAATTAGAATATCCATTATATAAGCAAATAAAGCCACAAAGACTTCATCAACGGCACAAGTTTTGAGATACAGATTGCGATCATTTCTACGTTTAAAGAAATGACTAAGACTCTTAAATGAATATTCAAGTTCTTTCTTTAGATTACCTAAATACGTTTTATCTAGAAACATAAATCTTGTTCCATAGAAGAAATGATTACATTAATTGATTACTTTTCATTTTCTTGGAAGCACGATCAGCCATAAAATATTCACAATTTGCAAGTTTAATACATGCACTCTCTTATCTGTGCTTTTATTTATCTTTAGATAATATTCTAGATCATTTCCAGTTCGCGGAATATTTATTGGCTAATCTGAAATATATACATATGTATATAAACCATTTAAGGAATCCATAAACACTTTAGAAAACTCGTTTAATTTATCGTTAGACCATTCGAAAGTAGTAAACGTTCCTAATAAGCCTTAAAGGAAGTTAAATGATTTGCACAAATAATTCCAAGTTCTCAATAAGATTTTCAGTTAATTAAAACGATTTGCACAAGTAACTCGTCAAGTATCTTTCACCTAATCAAGCACAAACATTAATTAACAGCTAGGCCCGAATCGATGCGAATCGCAATTAGCATATTGTCGCCACTAGGTTCTATCTAATGAATGGACACTAATACGTCGAATATGTTTGCCATAAACAGCAAATCAAATCGAATCAAATCAAAAACTTGCTGCTACCCATATGGATTAATCATTTATCGCTAACAGCAAATACTGTTAAGAAACAATTCGATTGACGCCCACAAATTAGGGAGCGACACGCGGCCAGCCAAACATCAGAAACTCATATGCATAATGCCATAGATCTTCAGGGAGAGCGCTATTGATCTTTTATTGGAATATAAATTGAAACGTGCTCATTTTATAGTCCAAACAGGCATCGGCAAATAAATAAATAAAAAGCATATATATAACAAAAAAGCCACAGCTCGTGGCAATCAACGAACGTCCAATGGACCTATCCCATAACATTAGGATCGTATAAAAGTAATTTGTATAAACTGAAACCAAATGCTAACCGAACTCGAATGCCCTATCAGCCATTAAAACAGAATAGGCGGCAGCTAAAGCAAAAGTTTAAGTTGCAAGCTGAAGCTTGGCTAATTCTCGTGTTCCCGGTCATTCCCTCAAATTAATATTTATGTTTATTTATTAACATTGTTTTGTTTGTATAAACTTGTTCTTGGTCGTTTTGTTTCAAACGTGTTAGAAAGGCTTGGTCCGGAGAACGAAATGGCAAGAGAAATAGAAATAGTATAAATACACTTGAAAAAATATATATATATATGTTTGCAGATACAGATACAGATACAGAACAGACATAGGAGCACCTTTCTCTCAGTGTATTTATTTGTATATAGTATATATAGAAGTTAAGTCAACTAAGTTAGCACACACGCTAAGCTTGGTTGACTGATTCGCAGAGCTTGGAGTCTGTCTGTCTGGTTGGGGCTATTCATTCGGACAGAAACGTTCAATAAAGACGGCCACGCGAATTGGCCAGACTCTCATTGAAAAGCGTTAGGTTCAGGCGGTCAACAAATCAATCTGACTTAGCAGCGGCACCTGTTTTATTATTCAATTTCATTCAGTCGGTCTCGCGAATCGCGGCTCCTCTTATTTTTCGATATACATACATAATTGACTTGAAATTTAGCCGCGTTTCGTTTGATCTTGTGCAAAATGTCACTCTTTGTCACCTCCACTGCCTGCGTGGCTCTACTTCAGCTCTTCCTGCTCCACTTGGTGGCTGGCAAACAGTACAGCTGGTGTGATCGTGATCTCTGTGGTCCGGGCATCAAGCACATAGCCTGCAACAACAATGGCGTAAGAGCAATTGGATGGAGTGATAGAATTTCTTCGTATTCAACTGTGTTTTGATTGCCTGCAGCATTTCCATAGACGCTGCCAGCCGGACTCCGTCGAAGTGGACATCTCCCGGCATAAGCAGCAGTTTGTGCATGGCCATAACAAACGTCGCAACTTTGTGGCGCTCGGCAAGCTGCCGGGCTATTATCCTGCAGCACGCATGACCACTATGGTGAGATGGGCTGAGGCAACTAGGTGAACATTTACTTATGGCTTCTACTGTGTCGGTTTAGGTCTGGGACGATGAGCTGCAGTATTTGTCATCGCTGAATGTGCGCACTTGCGTGTTGGATCACGATGATTGCCATAATACGTATAACTTTGCCAATTCGGGTCAGAATCTGTGCGCCATCTGGCGGGATCGCAATCCCCACACGAACGTGACCAGCCTGATTGAGGAGTCGTTGGGACTGTGGTTCAACGAGTACGATCTGATCGACAGCAGCTACATTGACAAATTTCGTGTCACAAAACATTTGTAAGTAAAGCTCTTTACATATGTCCCAAAATTCTCTTCAATTTTGTTATTCAAATTCATCTATAGCGAGGAATATGGCCATTTTGCGGAAATGATGGTGGACCGTAACTCGCGCATTGGCTGCTCCATAATGCGCTTCACGCGACCCGATTATCCCTATGTGTACATCTATAATGTCGTTTGTAATTATGCATCCATCTACGCTTTGGATGCGCCCGTCTATATTACTGGGCGACCCGCGTCACGGTGTCAAACGGGCAAGAATCCCTTCTATCCAGGTCTCTGCTCAATAAGAGAGCAATACGATCCCAACTACTGAATGATCGGTTAACAGTATCGTAAATATATGTATAATGCTCAGGTATAGAACTGCCCAGATCTTAGTAAACACTGTCTGTATTGTATCTTTACATAAGATTGTAGTTAATTATAGTTGTAGTCTCTGTTTACCAATAAATACCACATACACAAATATTAAGCCATTATTTATTGACATAATGACACCCACGCGACAGCTTTTGGACGGACCAACGTTAGCGTCTGTCACTGTATAATAATAATATTTTTAATTAGTTAATGATTTGTTGTAAAACAGACAGCCAGCATGCTAAGCGAACAAAACAATCGGTCTGTCGGTGAGTATTTAAATTTTATTTTAACGAACTTAACCAAATAATACCAAAATTAATGAATGACAGCTACGATAAACATGCACAAAACAATCTTTTGATCGACGACAATATGCTCTAACTAGACACAAGTCTGGGCAGAAAACAAAGAGATTCTAACCAGACTAAATCTTAATCAGGTTTAACATCAAATAAATCATAGATCATGAAGTCTAACCAATTATAATATTTTCTAACATTTGAGGTCAAATATTATATCTAATATCCAAACTAGTCCAAGGAATACATCTGACTAGAATATGCCTTAAGGGAAGAAATGTTAAATGACCCAATTTGAATTAAACATTAGAAAGGTGACTTGACTATTGAAAGCGTTAAGCAAACGTGTATGGTAATACGCCCTATAATAGTTAACAAAATGCAAAACGCTTGAATAATATATGGTCTACGATATTAAGAAAAGACATTTGGAAATAGCATTATCGCTCTCTTTATTGATGTCGACTTGCTTTTTATGGTTTTAGTAGCCGACTATTTGCATGTCTAGGCCTTTGTTTGTCTCTACGTAGTTATATTTAGCAATTGGTCAGATATACCCCAGGCATGTGTAAGTAGCGGGCAATAGATTCGGTCCAGGTTAGACAGGTTAACATTTGATAGCAACACAGCACTTTCGTTTGTTATTCCCAGACCAACAATGTGCCGAAAGCACATAAAGCCTTTGTTTGAATATGCAAATGTTATTCTGATTCGTTTTTTTTATATTATCCGGCCTGCAAAACAGCTGCTGATCTGTGATGCTCGACAGAAAGAAGGAAACCTGTATATAGGCGAGAGAAGCCATTCCAGCCTGTTGGATGCCGACACTACACACTGCACATCTGTGTTTAAATGTCACTGAACCAAGTGGTAAATAACACCCACATTGGAGCAACTCTCTTAGATGCCCGATCCCAAATGAACTTCATTCAACTTTGTTTGAATCAAATTAATGGGTTAATTTTCTCGGAAGACAAATATGAGTTGAATGTACTCGTACTATATTAAAGTTTTTACCTCAATTACAAGCTTTAAACATTGTGTTGAACTCGAATCTGATCTTAGTTTATATGGCAAAAATATAAGGGGCTTTTTAATCCAGACTTACCCAAAATGTCCAGCAGTTTGTGTTTGGCTAACGCGTAGATTAGACGCTTTCTTTTGTAACTATTATATTATAGTAATCAGTTCTTCGTTAAGTTTGCCAATTCCTATTCGTGCGATAAGTGTGAGGATATAACGTAATGGGCCTTGCCAACACACTTTAAAGTCGTACACTTAACTCTTCGTGCAATGTAGTCTGACTGCAAATATACAATAAAACATCTGAATCAATTAATTTATTAATTACACATTAATAAATATAAAGGATATGGCTAAAGAATTTCGAGTGATCGTAAATAAATCAATTGTCAGGTTGAGTGCAAGTTCAGGCTGCGGTTAGCTTGATCACCCGTGACGTCACTTCACACATTGAAACCGTTAATGCGTTTTCAGTTGATTGCAATAAAGACTGCGCGACCTGCCTTAAGCGACACTTCGGAATATGTAATATGGATGCTCAAAATATCCAAAAATAAAATTCGATTTCGGATCGCTTTCATATAAATATTTCGCCTGCAGCTGACAGAATTAACATTTTCAATACACCCACTGCAACAGCCAGAACATGACTCGCAGGATTCATTTCTTATGCAGCTCTCTGCCGCTGTCGCTGCTGCTGCTGCTGTTGCTCAACTTTGAGGCGGAGCTTGTGGCCGGCGAGTATTCCTGGTGCGATCCTCAATTGTGCAATGAGGGCGCCCGTCATATCGCTTGCAATAATACGGGCGTAAGTTCCTAACTCTGTTCTTGACTCAACAGACGATATAAGGATTTCTTGATTTTATCTCTGCAGAAATTCAACGAGACTTGCTCTGAGGATGCAGTTATCATCAATTTGCAGCCACATCGAGACTTCATTCTGGCCGAGCACAACAAGCGTCGCAATTTCATAGCCGCAGGACATTTGCCGGGCTACTATCCGGCCGCTCGCATGGCTACCATGATCTGGGACGAGGAGCTGGAATACTTGGCCACCTTGAACCTTAAGACATGTAATCTGGATCACGACGAGTGCAATAACTCGTATCGCTTCCGCAATGTCGGCCAGAATCTCTGTGGCGTCGATAGACCACGCAATGCGCCACTGGATGTGCGCGGCATTGTGGTGAACTCGATGGGTCTGTGGTTCGGCGAGTATCCACTGATCGACAGCAGCTACATCACCCAGTTCCGCGTGGCCAGGCATCTGTGAGTTACACTTTGATAGCTCTACAAATATTTCAAGTCACTAAAGTCATTTACTTGCAGTGATAAATACGGACACTTTGCGGAAACTGTCGTAGATCGCAATACGCACGTCGGCTGTGCCATGATGCGCTTCACGAATCCCCAGTATCCCTTCCTCTATATCTACAACATGGCCTGCAATTATGCCAGCACTTATGCGGTGGGCGTCCATGTGTACAAGGTGGGCGAACCTGCCTCCGAATGCCTGACAGGTGCTAATCCCAAGTATCCCGCCTTGTGCTCCATCAAGGAACAATACAATCCTAATTATAATGAATATTGATTAAAGCGATTACCAAAGATATGTATACACAAAAAATGATTTGTTGCACTTTCTTCCGGCTGAGCTCGCTTCCAGTATTTTTGTTTTTAGCTTCTTCCTCCAAGCTGCTGATTCGCTTGTACCCGTTTCCGTCCAAAATAAGGTGTTGCTGCGGCTTAATGCTAATGATTATAATTTTTTAAAACATCATTTAAGCCGCACGCGACACAAGATGTGAAAAGTTCGCAGCTGCACAGTGAGGCAAAACGGCATTGAGATCGAATGAGAAGGCACGATTTAAATTAGATGCATAATTTAATTTTTTATTAGTTTAATTTAAAAATGAATTTTATAATGTTTATTCATATAATTGATTTATGAACTTTTTTAATAACAACATTTTCGCGATTTTATAATATATGAAGGGAATGCACCGTATTCTCTGGGTTAATCTGGGGAACCAAAAAATGAACTTTCGAAGTGAACATATTATGTAATATAAATGATATATAATATAGAAGATATTGAATCAGAATTTTAATCTCTCAATAAAAAAATGTTAAATACAAAAATTAATCAGTGATGACAAGGAATCTTTCAGTCGTGTAAAATTGTTCGTATATATTATATATTGAATTGGAATTTTAATTTCCCAATGTGCCTTAAAATTCCATGATTTTTATCTCTAATTTAATATTATTCTACATGTGATTGACCCAATCGCGCGCAATTCTTATCAAAACCGCAAATAAAACAAATTTTAATTTATAAAAGTTGTCTCACATTTCAGGCGTCATATATTAATTAGTACAGACCACACATAATGACTCAAGCTCGTTTATTATTATTTTTTTTAATATCTCAGTCAGCCAAAACCTAGTTGAGCCGCAGGTCAAGTTCAATCTTTATTTAGGTTGGGATAGAAGGCCACAGCCAGTTGCTATCCGAAAGCTAAACATATTAAAAGAACTACCTGCCCAAGATCTGATTGATTCGCTTGCAAGCGAATCAACTTTCAGCATGCTATAAACACACATTCCAGCAGTACTTCCTTACGCCCTGCAGCCCATCCAATTTGAATGCATTATCTACTTGATGAAATGCCTATGCACATAAACATAAACATAAGCCACTCGCAGAGCAGAGCCAGAGCAGCTCTGTGGCTGGGAAGGGAGCCACTCCAGCTTGGCTGGTAGATGTCGACATTTCTCACTCAATTCTGGCCAATTTACGAGGCATTGTTGAGCCTGTGGCTGGTTAAACTGAGCACAACTGGAGCAGCGTCCATAAAACTGGCAGCAGCCTCATGTGTGGGATTCGGATTGTGAGGCACAGGCCACACAGCTGACAGGGGATCACGGCCCACACGTTGCATGCCAGACGCAGCGTCTGGCCGGGCAGCCACTCAACCAGGCGGGCTGCAGCTGGGCCTGGAACAATGCGTGTGTAAACGTGTAGCCATATCTCTGACTTTTATCGTGTTTTATCTGCAACGATGCATCATAAACGAGTTCACATACACATATGCATACATTCATGCGTGCAAACCTCGCCCACATGACTAGAACTTCGGTGGCAGTCCACGGCCATTCCAGTTCTATTGCCATCAAAGCCACAGATTCGCATAATCCATTGCATTGATAGCTTACACATTAATGCGTTGGATTTAAATGGATATTTAATTTAGAAACAACATAAAATAAATTTCATTTAGAAAAACCTTTAAAGTTTTTTTTTGTCGAATAAACATTAATTTAATTTAAGCTCTTAATTTAAGCTATTTTTATCTTAATGCTAACTCATAAAAGTCCAAATAGACATTTACTATGCATATTTTATGTATATACATATGTGTTTGTATATAGGATACATTTCTGATATTTAAACAGATTCTACTAAGACTTGTCAATCTTCCGATAGTAAATTTCCTCAAGCTTTCTTTATGTAATACACCATGTGAAGTCTCTATCTGAGACTTGGGAATTACTGATACGCACGCGATATCTGAGTCCTTAGCTGTCGATATAAATATATGTGTAGATATACATTTTCTAGATTTTATGTATGCGTATGTCTCTTTGTACAAATCATATACATATGTAAACTTCTTTGAATCAGCGCTTCCTAAATCTGCTGCTTGACAAGTTAAATAGAGTGAACTCTTTAAAGCACTTTTCCATATCAAATTAGGCATCAATTTATCAGAAAATAAATAATTTATAGTGTTTAACATCGATGCACATTACACAAAAGGCAACAATAGATAGACAAACATATATACACACATCTAGTCAGGCATAGATCTTGAATCAAGGTCTAATCTCGAATAGCGTTCACTGTTTATCTGTTCAAGCTAAATACTGCTCACAACTAGTCACATTTCACACATATTTCATCTAATCGAGTTTTCCTAGCTTGCATTTACCACCAAATGCCCAAATCGCTGAACAGCTCCTCGGTGGTGGGCAGCTCGAAATCCTCGTTGACCCACTCGGAGCGTTTGCCTTTCTTTTGCTCCCCCTCGTTGCCGTCGGCGCCAGCTGCAGCAGGGCCATAGTCCTTGCGATAGCCCATGTCCCGCAAGTCCTCCTCATCGTATTCCTCCTCATCCTCCACAGCCTCCAGGGCGCTGCTCAAATTGGGCTTGCCAGCACGCGGCAGAGTGGACTTCTTGTCACCCAGCATGCGCTGCAGGCTTCCCATCTCGTTCACCTGCTGCGCCGGCTGCACCTGCTCAGCTGCTTGCTCTGTGGCTGTCGCCTGCTTCGCCGCCTGCTGATCCGTTGAGGACGAGGCTAGGCGCACAATGCGTTCGAACAGCGTCGCAAAATGACGCCTAAAGCGGCTGTAGTCAAAGCTGTCCCTGTTGCTAGTGTTGCCATCGAGCAGGCCATGCGTTGATGTCGACTTGGAGCGCATCAGCGGTCCAAAATGATGCAGCATATCAATGCCAGGCGCCATAGATTCCTCCCAGCTCTAAGACAATACACATTCGTAATCGGATTCCTATTTATAGATATGCGTCATGCGTTCACTACACACCAATTCAGTCCAGTCTTCTACAGGCAAGCTCAGCACCGAGTTGACAACGTTCACCACACGCTCCTCCAGGTTCAATGCATGAATTATCCATTTGGCCAAAGCTACGGCGCAGTTGAGGTCGCTGCGCTGCCTGGACACGCGCCGAACAAACAACAATAAACAATAAATTTGTCAATAAGTACACATACACTTGCATACAGTGGCTAAAAGATAGCTTCGACCAATAGATAAACGAAATTGAATCGAGCCTTAATTAAAATTAAATTATATATACAAAATATATCAATTAAAATATAGAATACGCGCAAATGTATCTATGTACCAAATTCAGTTCAGATCTTGGACAGTTTATAGATCTCTGCGTTACGATTTGATATATCCCGCTATTCTAACTTGTGGTATAGTTGAAGTAAATATCTCTCAGCCACTGTACCCACTGCGTGGGCTGGCGAGCTCCAACATGTTTACCTGTGCTCGTCCCGTCGTATTTCAACCAATTTGTCTCCCTCCAGTATCAGGTGGTCGTAGTTCGCCTCGATTTGCATGGTGAGAGTCTCCTTGGGTTCGCTCTCCGTTTGTTCCTGTAGCTGGCGCTGTAGTGTTTTGAACTGTTGCCATAGCTCCTCCAATTGTGCCTGCAAAGCCATAACAATGAGCACTATTAATTAGCCACCCTCTCTCTCTCTCCATCTCACTCACCGTCTGCTTGCGTATATTCTGTTGTGTCTCGTGGTGGACATCGGCGCGATGCAGAATGGGCTGGGTGGGTATAAAGGGGGCGGCCATGATGCGCTCCACACAGCGATTGAGCACGCCGCGCTTGGGCTTCTTCTTGTGCATTTTGAGCAAACTGGCATCGCTATCCAGCTGCAGGGTGGTGTCCACAATACGCTCCAGAATCATGGCGAATGTTTCCACACAGTCCGATTGTATTCTGCGGAGAGAGAGAGAGAGAGATAGAAAGAGCTACAGTAAATCACATTTATGTCAACTGCGGGGAGCTCACCTCAAGCGGTTGGAGTTCTTGGCTGCCACCACGGTGATGACCTCGGTTACTTTGTCGAGACCTGGACAGAGTAGCTGCAGACCCAGTGCCTGAGCCTCGCTATCCGCCTCCAGGAACTCGCCGAAGAAGGTCGCCAGCTTGGGCGGCACATGTTTGCTGGTGATGGTGTAGGTCAGCTTAATGCCCGCCGCCTTCTGAGGCTGGCAGCTGCGATAGAACATGGACAGAGGCAGACAAGCGCTCTGCTGCAGCACACGCGGTATGCCCTTTAGGGGAACATGCAGAGATTAGTCGAGTCTATGAGAAAAAGTATCTACTGGCATACAAACTTACCCTTGGACTAACAAAGGACGCAAAGATCTCAACCCGTGTGCTGTGTACGTGCAGCAGCTCGGCCATGTAGAAGTCCAGCGGCAGCTCCTGCGTGCTGCCCGCTGGCACGTCCACCAGGCTGAGCGTTTCCTGGCTGCAGCGCACGCCGCTGGGTGTCTTGATAACCAGCTGCAGCTCCGCCAGCTCGGCCTTGATTTTCAGCTTAAGCAAACCCTTGGCCGAGGGCAGCTCCTTGACGGCCACATCGGCCGGCACATCGAGCAGCAGCGTGTCCAGGTCGTCAAACACCTCACGCTGTATGCTGAAGCTGAGACGCACCTGATCCGCGGCCTGCTGATTAAGCGCGTCCATATCCCGTATGTCCACCGACTCCTTGATCTCATCCTCTAGCTGCTGCAGCTGCTTGTGCGCCTCGGCGAAGCTCAGCTCCTCGATGTTCAGAGGCAGCACCTGAAACTGATACGGCTGTGCGCCCAAATAGCCCACCGTCAGCTGGCCCGTGGCAGTCAGGGTAACAATGCTGCCCGCCAGGCCCTGGACATTGGAGCGCTGAATGGCCACTGGAGCCGGCTGCTGCCACTGGGCGGCCCAAATGATGTTGGCCTCCTCATAGATGTGCAGCTTGGCGGAGTCCGAGACAATGGCCGTTAGCAGACGTGCGCCAGGCTCTGCAGAGCATGAAACTCCATTAAAGCTAATCCTACGCTCTTCTCTTCAGCTCTTACCCCAATAGTAGCCCACGACAAAGCTGTAGAAGCACTTGGGCGCATAGTCGAGCTTCAATATAAAATTGAATTTCCCATTGTCATCCAAGCAGATGAAATTGCGTTCACCCAGTATCATGATGTAGGAGCAGCTTCTGTGGATTATCAACTGTGAAACGAATACATTTCCTAGCCAGACTCACTCACTCCTTTAGCTGGACGACGCGCATGTCCAGGATGCCCTCGCCGATGCACTGCGACCAGATCGGCTGATAGCTGCTCTTGGTGACCAGCGAATGCGACAGGTCCTGGTAGCTGTAGCACTGCAGATGCCAGGTGGCGCTCAGCCGAAAGAAGCTATCGGTGCGCTCGCAGTAGACCACCGGAGCGGGCAGGCTGCGTTGCCCGGGAAAGCGGCACTCATACGAGATGCCGTCCTGCTCATAGAAAGTGAGCGTGCCATCCAGATGCACCACACAGAAGAACTCGCGTCCCTTCACCTGGCCAAAGTGGCCCTGGCTCATGGAGAAGGCGACACGCTGAAACTTGTGCTCCGCCAGCTGCTGCAGCTTCAGCTGTGTGCCATACTCGGCCAATCCACTCAGCGCCTGCACATTGTAGATGACAAAGGCATTGGGCAGCAGCACGCCCAGCTGATTGACATTCTCGTTGCGCACATTTCTGGGAATAAGCAATAAGGGACTACTCCTCTAAGGACCTTGTGTATGACTGCAGTTGACCTACCCGCTAAATTTGCCCGCATATAAACCTAGTATGGGCGCCGAAAGCTGCGTCTCCAGCAGCAAGTCCGTGGCCTCAAATGCATTGCCATGCGGATAGTAAATGCTCAGAGTGCCAGACTGTGAGCCCACAATGATGTAGTCCTTCTCCTGCGCCTCCAGTCCGAAGCGCGCACACAGCAAGCTGGCCACATCATAGTCGCCCACAGTGTCGCCACACTGCGCTGACCACCAGCTGCACACGTTGAACAGGGACATGCTACAGACCGACTGCCAATAGCTTTCAGTATAACCATTCAGTGTGGTGCCATGTTGTGCCACCACACTGTTGCCATGGAAATGTAGCAGGTCACAGTGAACGAAGCCCCTGGACTACAAGGGTTGCACAATTGAATAAATACTATTTCCCGAGAAGAAATCGAATTGAAATTTCTTTGCAAAGCTGCAAATCGATTCCAGATCAAGATTCAAACGATTTTAGTTGTCCTCCCAGCTAAACCAAGTTAACAAATTCTCTGCTGAGTCACAACTGGATTCAACAATATCGATTAAAAGTTCGCGACTTTTAGCCAAGCTGCAGGTTTTTTTTGGTCTTCACCCTCGTTCTGCAAAAGCCATTGATGACAGCCCAACATCCAGCGAGAATTATTCTTCCTTTGTTATACATAATTTGAAATTAATTTTAGTTAGATCTTACAGCTCTTCCTTTTGATTACAAATTAATAATAAGAATACAATTGATATTTACAATTATAATACTTTTTTTCTGGTTTTTTTAATTTATACTATATCATCGATTAATTAGATATTAATGCATATTAAAAACTTTATAGTTAAAATCTATATATTATTATTATAATTATTATTATTATTATTATGTCTATAAGCTAGGAGAAGCTTAAGGAATATGATGTACAGAATTGCGTTTTCAATTGAGTTTGGCTATATAATTAATAATACGCCTAAATATTATTTATATATAATTACAATTAACAACAGACCTAAGATGTCTGTCTGGGTGTGGGTGTGGTTCTGTGTGTGCGTGTGTTGGAGTGTGTGTGCCACGCCCTTCACACTACATCATCACCATCACCAAAAATCCCGATCAGGATCCTGAAGCAGGCAAGGAGGCGCCGGCTCATGGCTGTAAAACCAATCGAAACAAAAGGATTTTAGGTACGATTTAAGCAATGATTGATTCGCTGACTGACTGACTGACTGACTGATAGATAGATTGATTGGTTGGTTGGTGGGTCTAGCTGATTGATTGATTGATTGACGGACATGTTGAACAAGTAATGAAGTAATGAGCGAGAGCATTCAGTAATTTTGTTGCGTCACAGCTGATATCGAAATAGCCGGCGTCTAAAATTGACCCGTTGTAATTGTGGCGACGATGCATTTTTTTGTGGTTGTGGTTGTTGTGGTGCTTGTAATTGTAAAAGAATTGGCTACGGTGGTGGTGGTGCTTGTTCTTGTTGAAGTGGTTGTGTGGGTGTTCGTAATGATGCTGCGCCGATTGCGCGGCCGTGCGCCAACTCTTGTGCGATGATTCGCTAAATGTTATTCTTTCTCGCTTCTGATCATGATCTTTTTCTTCACCAGCGTTCGTACCTGTTGCGTTGTTGGCAGTTGTTGCTGTTGCTGTTGTACGACCCCAACCTGCTGTTGCTGCTGTTGTTGTTGCTGCTGCTGTTGTTGTTGCAGACTAGCAACTGTTGGCAACGGCGCTGTGGTTTGTGTTATTGTCATAACCTCAGCCGGACCGGATGAGGGCCCTGCAAGATTAGTATGTTGCTGCTGCTGTTGTTGTTGTTGTTGCTGCTGTTGTTGCTGTTGCTGCTGCTGCTGCTGCTGCTGCTGCTGTTGTTGTTGCTGCTGCTGTTGCTGTTGTTGTTGCTGCTGCTGTACCACAGCTAGCAAATTGCCAGCTGCTGTGGTTTGCAGGCGCACAGGGCTCGCATTTTGCCTTTGGTTATGCTGCAGTGCTGCAATCAGCGTCTGCTGAGTCGTCTGACCTACGGCGGAAGCAGCAACCTTCAAAGCGCTAGCTATGTTCTGACTTGTGCGCAGATTGCCAGCAGCCAAGGCCTGAACCGAAGCAGCGGAAACCACCTACAAAAATGAATAGATATTAGCCAAAGGAACAATACTGGCTTAGCTTCATTAAATATTCGAATTCTTTACCTGAATGGTCTGCCGCTGTGTGGCCTGTGAGGCCACAGAGACGGGTATGACACGGCCCACACTCGTCTTGCTCAGAACAATGCCCGTTTGCTGTCCGCTGCGCACCACCTGCGGGATTTGTTGCACTGTCACCGCTTTGGTGTTTTGTATGTGCAACAGTTGGGCCTGCAGGCTGCCGGCGCCTTGAGTTGCCTTCTGTTGTTGCTGCTGCTGCTGTTGCTGTTGTCCGGCTGGCGAGACAGTGACGCCGCCCGGCGTCTGTTGCTGCTGTTGAGGGCCGCTCGTGGTGGCCACAATATTCGTGGCCGTCGGCTGGCCAGAGGCACTTACCAGCTGTGTCATGCGGTTGATCTTGCGCGACATGCCCAACTGCTGTTGCACGTGCAAGTGGCGCATTTGATTCGGCATCGTCACCTTTATCTGGCTGCCCGGCTTCAGCTGCGGCAGTGTCATATTAACGCTGCCCGCCTGCACTGTGGGCGGACCTGTGGCGGAGACGGTGACACCACCGGCGCTGACGCTGTTGCCACTGGCTGCTGCTGCTGTCGATGCTTTAACCAGTGTGGCGATTTGCTGCGTCTGCTGCTGCTGTTGCTGCACGACACCAGCGACGGGCAACTGTTGTTGTTGCTGCTGCTGCTGCTGCTGTTGTTGTTGCTGCTGCTGCACGGCACTGTTGCTGGTGGTAGTGGTGAATAGCGGCCCGGTGGCCTGTTGCGCCTTTTGAGCTGCCAGTATATTGTGCCGCTTAACGAGCAGCATATCACTCGTACCTGGAGCAACGCTAGCACCACTGCCATCGGTAGTGAGCACCTGACGCTGCAGACTCTGCTTACCGGCTGCCATTTGCTTGATGAACTGCGTTCTCGCCTGGCCATGCATCTGCACCGAGCTAACCACATTGCCCGCCTGCACTGTGGTTGCACCTGGCATGCCAGAGACTGCGACTTTCTGGCTGGTGACATGCGTGGAAGTCTGCATCAGATTGCTCGCTTGAATGATTGTGCCCGTGGCCAGGGCACCACCTGCTGTTTGCACCACAGTTGGATTCAGACCACCGGCAGCGGCAGTGCCAGCAGCTCCCTGTGACGCTTGCAACACCTTCAGATTGCGCTGCCGATACAGTTGGATGTGCGCGGCCTGCTGCTGGGTGCCGGGCAGCACCGTCTTGCCGCCCTGCTGCAATGCACTGACAGGGATGCCCTTGGTGGTGACTAGCTGGGTTGTCTGGGTGGCGGGTGATCCGGATACTGCTGCCAGACGTAGCTGCGTTTGGAATTGAGCGGGTGTCACACCTTGCCCCAGATTGGGCATAGACACAATGGACTGTCCACCGGCCGTGGTGCGCTGTTGCAGCACCACATCCTGCAAGGTATTGCCCCCACCACCAGCAGCGGACACAATACGCTGCCCACGCAGCATCGTCACCGTGCCCGTTGCCTGTTGCTGTTGTTGCTGCTGTTGGCCGCTGGCCGTGGTGGTCAGTGGCCCAACGGATACAACTTGCGGCAGTGTCTGTGTCTGAACAATGCTGCCCACCTGTGGCGCCGTATTCACTGGCAGCGTCGATTGTGAAGAGATGGACACTATCTGCGCCGTGGAGCCATTGTTGTGCGTGGCAATGGGCAGAGATTGCACAGGGGTGGTTAGCACCACACTGACGCTCGACTGGCTGCCCGGCGGTGCCGCCTGAAGCTGCACACCGCCCCCGGCATTGCCCGACGTTTGCTGCGCCAACTGCTGCAGTTGACCAGCCGTAAGATTAGCCGTGGTGCCAACAATAGTCTTCACCAGCTGCTGGGTTGTGGTCTGTGTGCGCAGTTGCTGCTGCTGCTGCGGCTGATGCAGCAATATGGCCGTCTGCTGGGTGGGCGCCACATTGGCGCTGGTCAGATGCTGTATCTGGAGCTGCTGCAATTGGCCAGTGTTGCCAGCAGGCACGGTAACAGTTGTTGTTGTCGTGCTGGGTACCAACTCTACTGATTGCTGCACAGTGCCCACTGTTGGCAGTTGTTGCTGCAATTGTTGTTGTTGCTGTACCTGTTGTTGTTGTTGCTGCTGTATCTGCTGATGTTGCACATGTTGGTGCTGCACCGTTTGCTGCTGCTGCTGCGGAACAGGCTGCTGTTGTTGTTGCTGCTGTTGCTGTTGCGGCTGCTGTTGCTGCTGCTGCTGCTGCTGCTGCATTGGCATTTGACTACGCTGCTTGTCGCGCATTTTGTTGGCTTTCATCACAGCTATGTTGCTGGGCGACATGGGTTGATCGTAGTTGCTAATACCAAACTTCTGCAGCACCTCCATATGCTTGGGATTCATCAGGTTGGGTGCATTATACTGTCGCTTCGGTGCCGGCGCCTTCTTCAAGTAGGTCGTCTTGATGGTGTCAAATCGCTGTCGCATCACCTTATAGAACGAGGCATTGTTATCGCTGGCGTAGAGCTGTGTGGTGCGCAAATAGCGCAACGGACTCTTCATGTATTCCATGCGCAACGTGGGCTTCAGTTTCTTTTGCTTCTTGGGGCTCTCCACCACTTTGCCCTCCTCACGTGGCTGAATGTGAGTCTCGTAGCGCCAGCGGCACTGCCTGGCCGAGCGATACGTCTTCGAGCAGAAGTTCACTATCTCCGAGACCAGATCCCAATTGGGCGTCTGTCCCGGCGAGAGCAGCATCAGGCTGCACGGCAGACCCTGCAAATTGATCAGCACATGAAGTATGGCCATGTCCTCGAACACGCACCACTCGCTCATGGCCTCTGGCTCAGTGAGCGGCTTCGCCGGCAACTGCGGCTTCAGGCCAGGTATCATCGAATTCGGCTTAAAGCTGCCGCGGAAACGTTGATTCTTTAGCTCACGCCGCAAACGCGCCAACTGCGCTGTGGGTCGATCAAATAAGGAACGTGGCGGCACATAGTTATCCTCGCGTCGCATTTTGTTCGCACGCCGACTGGCATCGAAGCCGGCATCGGTGCGTGAGCGCTTAAGCTCGCGTCGCACATAAACGGGAGGAAGCTCGGACTCGGGTATCGGCTCCAGATCGTACATAAACGACAGCGAGTGATCAATGTAGATGTCATTATTGTCTTGCGGTGGCGTTGGCGGGCACCACATCTAATCAAAAACAAATACCA